CTCTCTCTCTCTCTCTCTCTCTCTCTCTCTCTCTCTCTCTCTCTCTCTCTTTCTCTCTCTCTCGTTCATTCTTTCTCTGTTTTCTCTCAATTCTCTATCCTCCTCAATTAACTCGTTCTATCTCTATCTAGTTCAAGACTCGAAGGAACTCGGTTCGTTGTAGTATTCGATCCTTCTTCGTTCACAGTTCTCGCCTTCATTTCATCATCGTGTTTTTTTATTTATTAGAAACCTAATCTTTCTCCGATCAATTATTATCTATTCTCATTCATTTTTTTTTTTTTTTTTACTTTTGTTATGTCATCTTTAATTTTAAATTGATTTTTCTAATGAAACTATGATTTCTGTGTAATATATATATATTATTAATGTTTGTACAATTTTGTTATTATCAATATCTTCATTTTCTTTTTTTCTTCCCGTGTATTTAATATTTCTTTACCGAGAATTTTCATCCTCTTCTATTGCACGTTTCTTTTCAATCTCTGTTGCCTCGACGAGCTCAAGAAACAAAGCTCGAACGTGGCCTAACGAACAAACTAAGTATTTAACTCGAGTTCATATGTAAAATACAAAATTCTTCAAACTATTGCTAAAGTAACCAAATTATCATCAACGATATTAACGAATTGTACAATTTCTTGCGAGTGAAATAATGAAATCGTTATCGTACCGCGAAATTGAAGGAGGATCTTTTAAATCAGGAAAAATTAAATTAATATTAAATTTGAACGTAGTAAAATTACGTAGAAATTGTCTTTGGTCGAATCGAAATTGAATCGAAATGAATCGTTTCAAAAATGCTTTCTGTACAAAGTGAAAGAACTGGGCGGTTGAATTATCGGCCGTGATGAAAAGAAAAGAAATGAAAAGAAAAACAAACAGAGAACTGACCCTGCTCGATGTAACTCCCATCGTAGAGTGGCCTTTACGCGCACGAGACATTCAAGTCTACGTGACTGAACGATATTCTTAGACGTGGAAGTGTAATGGAACTTTGCTCGATATATACTTATATACGCAGCGGCTCGCGGGTTAAAGAAGCTTCTAAAACCAACACCCACATTCCTATTAATAATTTCTGCGCGCGTTTTGGAATAAATATACAAAAATCGAAATATTTATCCAGAAAGAAAAAATTACAAATGAAGAATGTTACTTTCTCATAAGTGGAGAAGTCGGATGCATGACAAGTTGATGTAAATACTGCGATCCATTTATAAACATATTATGAACGTTTACATTGAAATGTTTGGAATTCCATAAAATCTAAAATATAATTGTGTATACGATATATTTGAGAAATTCCTTGAACTAAAAACGAATTGTTATTTTTATCATTTTTATTATTATTTTCTTGTTGAAGAATCGGATTAATTTATATTGCGTATTTGAAGCATTTCCAATATATACTATGTCAAATAAATAAATATGGAAAAATACTTAAAGAAAAAGATCAATCCGAAGAAAAAAAACGTTAAAGAAATTTTGCAGTGAAAGAATTTCAGCCGCGAAGCAATATATTATGCTGAAATGTTCGCGGACTGCTAACAAAATTTCCACATATCTCGCGGTTCTGAAGCTAGACTAGTTGGTCGATGAGAAAATGGAGCTGGGAAATGGGAAAAGAAGATGAGCAACGTCAGACATAGGTCATCGACCTGTCGAGAGCAACAAACGGCAGCATTTATAAAACGATAAGTTAATCTCTCTGAATGAGAGTTATTTCGAGGAAAAAATTTTAGTTAAAAATTCTGACCGAACAGATTTATTACAGCGTTTATATCTCTTTGAAACGTCCATTCAAAACTCTTCTTGCAAATTAGCGTAAAAATATAGTTAAAAAATGAATTCTTTTGTATATGCAAATGAAAAATGTTAATTTTACTTAATTATACAAGATATCTTATTGAGGAGATACGCATTATACATGATAATGTTCAAATCGTTTGCCTTTTTTTAACGCGTCAAAGATAAATTAATTTCTGAATGGAAATTCCTGGGAAGAGGAGGGGGGAAAAGAGGAGAAATCATGAAAGAGACAGAAAGAAAAACGAGGCAGACACGTTTGACGCAATCAGACGCGATGGGCGCCACATGTCGAGTGCATCGAACATTTTAGGTAACATAACAGACTTCAAAATCGACGAGATTAAAACGGTCAAGGACCCAAGATTATTATGCATCGAGGTCATAAGGGTAAAAAAATCGATTTCTCTGAAATAACTCATCTCAATTCTCATTTTTAAAATTATTTTATCATTAATCGATGACGTTTCACAGAAGGAAAAACAACTAAAAACAAATTTGATTAAGGATGGAGCATGGGTTAAATTAATGGGGTAAATATCTCGAGTCTTAATCGTTAATAAATATAATCTTGGCCGCTCTTCCGATGCCTCTGGTAAAAAGAAAGATATAAGTGGAAATACAATCTTGAAAAAAAAAAAATGCTTGCTTGCGTAATAATAACATCAAGTATCAAATAATCGTTCCACTAACAGTTGAACAACAGAAAGAATTCGACGATTAATCACCGTATGTTTTAAGAAATAAATATACTAGTGTGTGCAGAGATATAACGTGGGCATAAATTATCATATTATATATAGCGGAACAAATGATGCCACGATAACATTTTTTATGTTACCGACATTCTGCATTCGAAACATTTTTAACTTTTCGCTAGATTGAATTTACAATCTATATATTCTTTTAGACATTATACATTTACTGTTATACCGATAAAGAAGATAAAAAATTAGAAGATAAAATTAAGAATGAGGAATAATTTTACAATTATTTCTGAATGTCTAAAGTGGAATTTCAAAAAAAATGTAAAAAATCCATAGCAGATTGATTAAGACTAAATCTGCAGAATAGCGTATTTATAATTTTATGCGTGGCCATTTGCGGTAAAAGAAGGGTCCTCGAAAATTGTATCTTGTTCGTGCAACAGGATAATCTTTCTCCCTCGTTGCCTCTTAAAGCTCAAGTTCCGAGAAGGGTCCTCCAGCGATAGACGATCCTAAGACCCTGGAGCTATTCAACCTGAAATCCTTCGCAGGTCATAAAGGGCTCCCTCTATATAGCTACCTCTATTTCTTTCTAGTCAAACGATCCACAAGATTTTTCTTTGAAGAGTTAACCTATCTCAGCCGATTTACGAAGATCTTCCAACTTCTCTAAAATTAATCGAGTTTTATTAAGTTTCGTTCGTTTTTGAACGTTTCCTGCAATCCTTTCGTAAATGAACATGGACGTAACTTGAAAGAGGAAACTTTCTAAAAATGATTATGATCCAACCTTCCGCAAAGGTAATGAGGACTATTACGCATCGTCTACTTGGCAATAAAATAAATGTTTCTAAGTATCCATTTTCCAATAGTCAAGATCAACAAGATTTTCTCTTAAGAAAATTATCCATCTTTCTTTGATCATAATAAATTAATCTGGAATCAAAGCAACTATTGAACTACAAATGTTGGAAAAAAAAAAAAAAAAAAAGAAAACAAAATTTTCCATGTAATCTTCATTAATTAAAGTGTGCATATAGGGTGCATATATTTGCACGTTTAGAAGGAAGATAATAGTCCCGTAGATAGGGTGTAAATGTGCAGCGTTGGTGGTTAAAGGGTTAAAAGAGCGGCAGCGACGTTGGAACGACGTAACAACGCTATAAAACTCAACTCGAGCACGATAACTCCTCCGCGTTACAACAATCGACGAGATTTCCCTTTCACCAGGCTTTCGTAACTGTGTGTGCGTGTATACAGGCGCAGCTGTGTGTTGCTTGGAACACACCTGACGAAATGTCTGTGGCAAGACGATGCAATTGATAAACCGAAGGGAGTGGGGGCAGCAGGAAGATGATCCGAGGGGAAGATCTGGTATTTCTCCCTCTGGAAAACTCATGAATTACGAAGCTTGTTGTCAGCCTAGTTTTATACTTGATTCGACTCCTCTGTAATCTGCAAAAAAACACCAATATAAGAAACCGGGCTCTCATAAATAAGTTATAGAATAAATAGAAGAAAAAAAAAAAAAAGGTGTATAGTGTATTGTTTGAATTCGACTAGTTTGAATTCGACTAGTCGAGAACGAGTTTGATGAACTTCTTTTGGAACTGAAACCAGTATCGGTAAAAAGAAGTCAATGTCTAACCATACAGGTGGAGAAGAGAGAAAGATATCTTTCCGAAAAGGATTTCTCCAAAAACAGTTTCCTGTTAGTGATATAAGAAACTGGTTGGGCAAATATTGACCTTAAGATGTAAACGTGCCGTCGACGAGATACATATTTCTTATCGCAGAAAGCGGCCATAACTACGCGGCTTAATCGTAAGAATATCATAAATATTCCGCGAAACGTTTTCATCACGATAAAATGTAACAAATAAATTGCATTAGATATTAAAAAAATATTTTAAATAACGCGCGAAAATTTTTCTAATAATATTCGAGCATCGTATCAGAGAAAAATGATTTTTAATATTCAACGATATTCCCTTTAACGAAATATTTTTCGAATTTTTCGAACGCGAATAAAATGGATTAAAGCGGAAAATAATTTTTATAAATATTGAGAGGAGGCAAAGTCGGCCAATTGACGGTGTAGGCTTGCGTGCACGTAAAACGGCGGGATTCTTTGTGATCGCTTCTCGAGAACCGGTTTGAATCGTGCAGAAGAGGGCTTATGAAGTGAGTCGAATGTGAATCGTGTTCGTCTAATAAATGAACTTTTGTCGACCAGTTCGATAACAACGATGTACGAGTTTTCAGTCTGATGTGACAAACCGATAATATATATATAATATAATATATTAATTATATTGCACACACAGAATTTTCAAAATTTCAATTAATAATTTTTTTACAAATTTTTTGTAACATTTTACGTAACATCAAATTATAAATAAATTTAAACTAAGACAAACTGTATGTTTTTCGATAGATTATATATATTTGCGGGCAAGTTTTACGATCGGTCAATGCGAGGATAGCGTGATTATTAATTTATGAAATATACGGCTTTACAATGCAACGATTCGCGATATAAAATCAAATAATCTATAGTGCACAAATCATTTTACTATTCTAATCTTCTTCGTCCATTCCTTTTTTAATATTCTTTCATTATATTTTATATGTATCACAAATTTTATTAATCGTATCTTTTATATTATTATTACTTCAATTCGTATTTTGTCTATTCTACTAATGGTAGAATATTTCAAAGATATCGTTTCTCTCTCTGTCAATAAGTTTGTTCGAACGAAAAGACGTGTATTAACATCATCTATAAATTTACAATGCCAAATACAGTTCGGCATGTTTTTATTCTTGCCTGGTATTACTTCACAACGGCAGCCAGCTGCCGAGAACAGTCAATTTCATTACGTGTCGTCGAACTCTGCAGCTGTATTTTCTTGCACGCTCTCGCGCCCTTCTCATCGAGCTTTCTCCCCTTGCTGTTAGCGAAAATTCGACCTTCAACTTTTCCATCCTAATCTTTATCAATCTTTAAACTTTGTTCTCAATGATGAAAATGATCAAAGAAAAATTATTAATTTATGATAAAAAAATATATATATATATAAAATATATAAAATATATATATGCATAAATTACAAGACAAAGTAGTAAAGATCGAGAAAAAAGAATATACCAGAATGTTAGTGAAACGAAGAAAGTCTCAAAGTGTTTTTGAATTATTGATATGAAATTTTGGAACATGTGCCTTTCCCAAACAATTTTTCAAACCGAATACCGAGAAAAATTACGATCTTTGAACGTTAAAACAGATTAATAAGAATTCTAAATCAGCGTGTTCTCGAAAGCAAATGTATTTTCTTTGGACGAAGGAATACAATTCGGCAAAAAGGATTAAAAAATTCGCGAGCTGATTTTTGTGGTATTTGCAGAGGTACAGGTGTAAAGGCTGGCTATCCCTTTGTTCTCGAAACTACCATTACAGACAGGTAAGAAAAGAGTCGAAGCGTGTCGGACGGCGGAAGTCTTTCCTGGCAGGTAGCTACGAATTTTTAGCACTGGTTCAATTCCTCGGGCTTTCTCATGCTTCGATACCCCATCCTTTCTCTCTATTATTCTTTATTAATTTTTTCCTCTACATCTCCTCACCCGTAATGCGATCTGTAATCTTCTTATCGATGAACTTAAAATCACTTTGAGGGAAAGAAATTTGATATTATGTGTATAGTAAGCAAAAGAATTTTTCTTTTCTAATAGAAAACAGCAGTGAATGGGGAAAATTGATACTTGACTAAATATTCCACAAAAAAACGAAACCTCGACCTTTTAACGTTGTGTATTGGAAGGAATACAAGTGTGTAAAGCTTGTACACGTCGAACGTCAGTTTCACGGCCGTGAAAACGCAAGACATCTCACGGGTCGGATCTTTTCCCATGGCCGCGGTGCTTACCGGCTACTTCCTCAACGGGCCACACTTCCGCCGATAATGTTCATGACCTGGACTCCCCGAGTCTCGACGACGTTACATTTTTTTCTCTCCTCTCCGCCGTTGTATGCAAATAGGTCACGCAATTTCTCTCCCCTTCTCATATGCGTCTGTGCAACGATGACCCTGATGGAATTATTATTCGAATAAGTTTCGAAACATGTGTTTAAAAGGATAGAAAAATGATTTAAAAATGCTTCGAGCTCAGCTATTACTATCCGAAGCTTCGAAATGTTTATGGAGCAACATTTGTATGAGAGATTTTATTGCGACATCAAAATAATATGGAATGGCTAGCAAGTTAATAATATTCTTTGACCAATAAGCAAATATCGACGTTGGAATGGGGAAAGGATTCATCAACGAATCGCATTGTTTCAACCAAGTAATTTCGCCTTTTTTTTTTTTTATGATCTTTCCATCAATCAACGCGAGAATCTTTTCAAGGAAAAGAGTTTTTAATTCGTATGCTTATACCGATGATCTTTAGATAATTTTAAAAAATAAGGTATCGACTAAAGGTCATCAATTAAATAATCCATAAGTATTTCTTTCTAATGATCTTCAAATTAATCGATTACTAAGACGCTTAATAAAACGTTTGAGAAAGTGATGCTCTTTTCTTCGAGCTCTCTATTCTATTATATAAGATATAAAAAATTTAAACAAGGCTATATAAAGTGGGAACACTGCTACTAATACGTGAACAAGTATTATGCATAGTTTCAATAATGTTTTCGGTCATACAGTTGAAATATATACATTTTTGGCTCGATTATTTTGGCATATTTTATAATGAAAGGATACATAGTGGAAAAAATATAATGAGAGATCGTTTGGGTCTAGCTTACCAGGTGCTTACAAAAATACCTCTAAGTTAGGTATCGAAATTTTTAATCTCCGAAATTACCGTTGAAATTTTTCTATTTCCTCGAGCAATGGGATTTCGTTTCGTGATTGTCGACGAACAACGTGACGAGAATATTACTTGAAGAAATGAACAAAAGTATTTGGAATTCTTATGTGAAAATTATCATAAACAATTTTCTTATTACTCAGAGATTCATTTAATTCGAATTCAATATTATGAAAATTATAAATATGTGGATTTTAAATATGAATCATTAAACGAAACTTATTGAAAAATAATAAATGTGAATATTCATAGGATATAGTTTAAAGATTATTATATAAAAATATTTTATTATAAAAAGATTATATATAAAAAGAGAAAAATGTGAAAAGAAATTACAAAATAATTCATACGAAAATATTTGATATACGTTAAACAAATTATATGAATAAACTATTACAAATAGCGCGAGGCAACGAAGAACATTGGTTTCCGGTGACATCATTTTCAAGGCTGTGAAATAAATACACGCAAATGCATGCTTGATATCGAGTGAAACAACATGAAAGTGTTTTAAAGAACGAAGATATATCGAAGATGTATACCGAACTGACCACGTGTTTCCTGATACAATTTTCGCGCTATAAAGTTAGAAGAAACGAGAGCACAGCTGGCTTCTTTTTCCTCTTGGCTCTAGAGACTAACCAACGAGGTCAATCAGACTAGTAAAAAGAGAGTAACGCGAAAAACTTTACACCGAGACGAGAAGATGAACTGCTTCCTTCTGCGCAACATAATCTTCGCTTTCCTTATCTATCTGCAAAAAAGATATCATCTTCTAAACAACTAAATCATCGTTTGGTTAATATTAATACTTATGTTCAAGATATTTAAATTATTCCACTTTTTTTTTAACTTTTTGCATTGATTATATTTTATTATATAATTATAACAATTTATCTTCCATAAGAAGATCGGTAATAATATAAATGTTGAGTCAACAATTAAAAAAAATTTAATTGCTTTTTTTTTTTTTATTTTCTCTAACCAATCGAAATTTTTTCTCTATTTATTAAAAACTACATATTACTTAAATTAAAATAAAAAAAATTAAAGAGAAAATAAACAAATATTGGGTGTTTTTCGCGAATGTTTGTCGACAATTCTAAATAATATCAAGATTAATCACAGAGTGAATTTGGTTGGTATTAAAATGGAGGGGCGTATCCGAGTGCATAGAGAGAGAGCCCATAGTCTGGATCTTGCGATGGACCAACCGTAGAGATACGTATAGCTGTGTGCTCTCCTCTCCTACCCGCGCTTTTCGCCGAGTATCGATCTGATATCCCTGCCGCCAGTCGACCAGTGTTTGCGAGAGAGCTACGAGCGTGTCTGCACCCCCCTATCCCTACCACCGTGTGCGTGTGCACGCTTACAAATGAACGATGAAGTTGGTAGTAGTGGTGGTATGGCTCGGTTCTTGCCTGCTGCAAGACAGTTTGAAAATGCATCAAGCCAGTCTTTCTTTAGATACATTTTTTACTTTTGTTAATTGTCCATTTGATTTTAATTATTGACCGAACTTCCTACGAGAGATTGATTGAAAGTAAATTATAATGTAATTTTTCATTTATTCTTATACGTTATAATATTACGAAGAGATTTATTAATAGTTCGAATATTGGTTAGAAATAGACGTCTGCGCGGTTGGAAATCCAATTTCGTAGTATGTACGTCATATCGTTTTGCACATCGACAGAAAAACAGATCGAACGCGGGAACGTCATGTACACGTGGACGTGTACCAATGGCAAATTGGCGCGAAAAAATATCATTCTTACATTTATTGTTGCAATTATGATTACAGTTAATCTTTTCTTAATCTTACAGATGGTTAAAAAAAAATATTGAATACTGAAGAACATTAAATAGAATAAAAAATAGTAATGGAAAATAATAATACTAATTATATAAATGATGTGACAAATCGATTTTCGATATAAACTTTAAGCTTCGATATAAACTTAATTTAATCGAATTACTTTCTATTTTACTTTCACCGAAGAGAACCGATTTAGTTTTCTGAAAAATTTTGCATGTTACGTCGAATGGCACGCAATCTGCATTCGACAAAACGAATTTCTCTATACATTTGCGACTTACAAGTTGTTGTGTGTCATAATACCAATAGTTACCGAAACGCAAGATCGATCCTTGATTTCGATTAAATAATGATTAGAAGAGATATAAGGACGCTGAAAATCAAAATATTCGAATGAGCAAATATCTCACATTGATAATATTTGACCGTTTTTTCATAATATTTACCAAAGG